AAATGATGAAGGGAGAAGAGAGGCTCTGATTTTGAAAACCCAGATCTGGAAATGATGAAGGGAGAAGAGAGACTCTGATTTTGATTTTGATTTTGATTTTGGAGAGAAAGAATAAGAAGGATGATCTGATTGGTTTTTAGGGTTTTTAATTTGAAAAGGAAATGAAAGGAGAAACGAAGAAAACTGATTTTTTGGGGAATTTGATTGAAACTGGAAAAAGAGAAAATAAATTTTTATGTGGGTCCCATTAAAAGGAGAAAGATGATAATATGACGTGTAAAAAAATGCCACCTCATAATAAAACATATTCAATTATATTTTTTTCCATGTCATTAGAGTTAAGCAAAAAAAAAAATGATTTGCTGGGATTTTAACGTGTCACCTGTCATTTAACTGACGGAAGGACCATTTTGGTACCGAAAATGAAAGTTTGAGGATAATTTTGGTACTTTTTAAAGTTAAGGGACAATTTTGGTACTAAAATGTAAAGTTGAGGGACCAAAATGGTACTTAAACCTAAAAAGAAAGTATGTCGAATGAGGATGTCTTAGAAATATACTTTCTATTTCACCATTTCTTTTTTTCCTTCATACAATATAAACTTATATACAATACATAATTTAATAAATAAATTTAAGTAGATTCATTAATGAAATTAAATAGATTCAGAAATAAAATTTAGTAGTCTAAATGAATAAAATATAGTGATCCAATGAATAAAAACTTAATAGGTCGAAGGTGAAATCTTCATTGTTAAAAACATAAAATTCATAATAAATTAAATTTTTTTTTCTTAAAATTAATTCTTGTTAAATATTTTTATTTAATGAAAAATAATATTTATATTATATATTAAATTTTTATCTAAAATTCATATTTAAAAAATCAAAAGTCAAATTAGAACTACTTAATAACTAATTTGTAAAAGGATATCTAAGTTTGTTTTGAAATTATTATACCTCTTTTATTGCCACATTCCGTTCTGTTCATCCTCTACTTCATCAGGCATTTTCACGTATTAAAAGTATAATATATAATTGGATGGTTTAATAAAATAGAAAGACACTTTTTTTTTTACCGTTTATACGATAAAGGCAATCTTTAGGTGTAGAGGCGGTGCTAAATATTAAGAAATCTGTTTTAGGTTTAGTTTGATAATATTGTTTGTAGTTACAATTGTGGATTTTTTAATTTTTTAACATGTTAAAAATATATAAAATATATTTTATATGTTTAATGTTTTTTAAATTAATATTTTTATATATTTTTAAAATAATAAAAAAATAAGTTAAATCCCTAATTAGATCACTCAACTACTGTACAGATCCCTAACTTGATCCATGAATTTAAAAAAATCTGATTTCATTCCTATTATTTATCAATTTATCCTCAAATTAATCATTCCATTAAAAAAAACTGATACGTTTGTTATTTAATTATAGAAAACCATTACTTAACAGTCACATGTCATTATTTTTGTACGAAAAAACTAACTTCGGATTAAATTGATAAACAATATCGATCAAATCAAGAATTTTTTTAATTCATAGACCAAGTTGAATGTCTATATAATAGTTAAATGATCAAATTTTAGATTTAACTTAAAAAATTTAAAAATTTAAAAAAAAATCAAAAAGTGTTTTTAAACAAAACCTTGATTTAGTGCAGCTGGAATTAAATATTTTTGCAAAAAAATGAAAACCCTTAAAACCAATCATCGAAACAGAGAAAAACAATAACGTTTATGAAAATGGAAGAGGAAATTGAGAACAAGAACCATATGCACCTCGAGGAACATAAATTGGGTGTCCCCGGAATAAGGAAAAAGATCAACGTCTCTCGTCTATAGATCGTGCCCTACCGTCCCCACACAGCAATTCCAAATTCTTTTTTTTGAAAAAAAAAATTCTTTTTCATTTATTTTCTGCATGTTAGTTGAACTTTGAAACGGAAATACTATTACTACCTACCCGGCAATTTATTTGTCCCATTTTTACTTAATATATAAATATAGAAACACAAAAATTCATAATATGTAGTACAATTGTTATTACTTAAAATTTTACATTTACGTCAATTACTTAAATAGTTTTAGTGATTATTTTTTTTATTAAAAATAAAAAATCTTGAATTTAAATTACATGATATGTGAGTAAAATAAAATAAAAAATAAACAATGATTATCTTTTATTGTGCGGAGATCCAAAAGCAAATTTTTACATTTACCCCTTCATTTACTTTAATTAAAACTCATTAAAATATGCCTCAATAACTGCCTCTTTACAGGACTTACTATGAAGTTTTTATTAAGGGTATGGCTGAAAAAACAAAATTTAATATTGTATTTATTATTAAATAATTTAATAATAGTCTCTTTTTAATAAAAATAAAAAATTTTAAATTTAAATCACATTATTTATTAATAGAATGTATTAAAAAAATTATCTCTCTCATTATATAATTTAAGATAAAATAATATAAATAAATTAAATCAAAATATCACTTAATTAATTACTCATATTATTGTTTAAAAA